AGCTATGATCAAGATAATGTCTGTGATTTTCACTTGGGGGCATTGGGGCATTCTACGGGAAATTGCAGGCCGTTGTTAAAAGAAATAGAGATGCTTGGGGAAAATGGGACGTTGACACAATAATTGGTGAAACAATGGATGACGAGCTCAAGTGGGACACCAGAGTACAATATGTAACACCCGATCAAATCAAACACCACTGCATCAGAAGAATAATGACGTATCCTGATTGCGCATAAATCATTATGTTCATCATGAAACTTTTTTTCATTTGCAACATCTTGTTTGAACATGTTTTTGGGACTTTCTCATCAGTTTTTTTTGTAATGATATTTAAATGAATTCATGTTACTTTAAGGATGGTGAACATTGAATCGGATTTATGACTTGAAATTCTTTGAATATCAATTGAGTTAAGAGCTCTTTAATAATGATGAGTTGTAGGTCTTTGACAAAGTGACAAGGTTGAAACCTGATAAAACAAGGACCTTGACCTTATCCCCAGAAGTTACAATCGAACACATTACATTTTTATTACAGGGACCGATATAGCCTTCTCCTATCATAAAGGAATGAACAATAGGCTTGGTATTTAGGTATGCATAGGAGCGGACAACATGGGGAATCTTTTGTGTACGATGTTACAAAATTGTCTAGACCATACTTTTGTTGACGAAGTTCGATGATGATTATGATCTTTATGGATGGAATAGTCGAGTAGGTGAATCTAGTTTAGGTCAGTTGCTTGGAAATTGAACTCTAACAATGAAATTTTCTGACTTTCAACAACGCCTAGACTATGACAGGTTCTTCTTGACAAGCTTAAGAAATTGAATCTGCATACCCAACAAAATATATATAGAGATATAATATATGGGTATACAATAAAGTTGAGCTATTCCGCTAAGGCAATTGGTTATAAAGGAAACTCGAAAGCCTTGGCTTTATGAATAGTTTATATTCAAACCATGACCTTGATCGGGTACCTAGCAATTCGGTGTATGCTCCACTGTGATTGTCAAGTCAAAGACTTTGTGATGAGATGAATCCTTCAGCTAGCCCGATAAAGACAAATTACAATAAAGCTGATTTCAGCTAGCCAGACAATGGCAATTAAATCAAGTTTATCTAAATAAGGAGTTTCGGTAAAGATGGACTAAGGGAGTTAAGGAACACCTGTCATAGTCAATTTCACACGAGCACTCAGAAATTTCATTTTTAGATCGATATTTCTGCACTACCTTGGTTAGAGGAGTCTACGAAGCTTGAACAAATGAAAGATTTCAGAGAAACTGAAATAGAAGTGTTCGAGAAAGTCTAGTAATTGATTATGCTCGTTGCATCATTTTGTCCGCATCCGATTAAAATACCAAGCCAAGAAAGAAGGATATGTTGTGATGTTCACAATGATCAAGAAAGAAATAACATTTTGGTGCTCGAAACCTTTGAAGATATGAAGCCAACCTGGAGCCAACCTCTCGATTTTGAAATTTGTCAAAGAGCTATAACCCTGAAAATATTAAAGAGCTATTGATTCTTTTGATATTTTGTGAACTCATGTCTATGATTTGATTTGATTGCGGGCCTGAATTTAGGGGCAATGTTTTATAAAATTCTTTCATTCTTTAATCTTTGAAATAAGAGAAAGAAGAAAAACATTTTCGAACATGACAGTTTAAATGTGAAAGGTCCTTTTAAGTTGGTGAGGCTCATTGTGCCTCCATTGGAGAAGAAGAATAGGCAATTCCAGAACATGAAGCATTCCACAATCTTAAAGCAGATGGTCCAAGAAGATCAGAAGGGATGAAGGATAGAACCGACAACATTTCCTTGTGACGTTGTCAGTAACCCGTCAAGAAGAAGATGATCTCATCATTCAGAAGAGACACTTATTACAACTTATATAAAATACAAGACATTTGTTAGAAGGGTTGATCACTTCTTAAGTAGCATGAAGAAAAGCTCTCAAATTATTTTACAACACTATTGTGTAGTGACACCAGAATGAGAACATTCAAGTTATGATATATTGGGGGTCGAATGAACCCACTTTATGTTGAGATGACAAGATTCAGAAGGAGGCATGAAGAATGAGCCTTACAATTTGAGGTAATGGGGCATTTTGAAGGCCCATACCAGTATAAGATAATGTTGGGGCACGACTGAACCCACATCATGCTGAGATGACAAGATTCAGACCATGAAAGCATTAAGAATGAGTCTCGCAACTCAAAGTGTCAGGGGCAGACCGTGAATTTGAGTTGAGCTTACCTTTTAAAGCAAGTCAATTGAGCATTGATCAATGGTAGAGTCCTGGCAGAACAACTCTGAAAGCATAATTGAGCCAAGGACAGAAATGGGGTAACACAATCGTATTTCTGACCATAGCAAGAAGTTGAGAGAGAAAACACTCTCTCCGAAATAAACACAGAAAATAAAGAGGACAAGAAGATAGAAGAAGATCAGAGGGCTCTTCCAAAATGGAAATTGGAAATTATGAGTTATTACATGGGTATATGAAGCAAACCCATGAAAAGAATGATCAAATGAAAAAAGATCGAGCTCACCACCCTGGAGCCAAGTGAAGATTAATTCAACATTTATGCATTCATGATAACATCATTTGTATAAAAGAAAATGCATTACACTAATACATTGAATTGCATTCGTGTTTCTTGTATAAATACATGATTTTGACAGATCTTCCGGCGAAAAGAGAAGATGTAGAATGTTAAAACCCCGATGATTGAAAGGAAGTTTTAAACCTCGAATGCAAAGAGTTGCATTTAAAGAGCCATACCCTGAAGAACAGAGAGGTCTAATCCACAGAAGAAGCATTGTTTTGAAGTGAAGACCATCATATGTAGAAGAAAAACAAAGATTTTTGTGTATTAAGAGAGACTTGCACACATGGGATTGGAGCAATTCATCTTAAGCCTTCACCAAATAGTAGTGAAGCAATCCATCTTAAGCCTTCACCGAAGAGTAGTGAAGCAATTAATCTAAAGCCTTCACCGGAGAATAGTGAAGCAAAACCATCTTAAGCCTTCACCGGAGAATAGTGAAGCAAATCCATCTTAAGCCTTCACCTGAGAACAGTGAAACAAATCAATTTTAAGCCTTCACCGAAGAGTAGTGAAGCAAATCCATCAGTAAGCCTTCCGAGCATGATGCTTAAATCCTTCGGGTCATCTGTAAGCCTTTAGAGCAAGATGATAAGTCCTTCGGGACATCCATAAAACCTTCGGGTAGGATGTTTTCACATGAATTTGAAAATGAAAAAAATGATGTTTTAAGATGATGTTTTAAGAAGATGGAATTTTTTAAAACGAAGAATGCGATTTTCAAAATTTCACGATTTATAAATCCTTCCGGCCATCAATAAGTCTTTCGAGCATGATGCTTTAAATCCTTCGAGTCATCTGTAAGCCTTTAGAGCAAGATGATAAGTCCTCCGGGCCATCCATAAAACCTTCGGGTAGGATGTTTTCACATGAATTTGAAAATGAAGAAAAGTGATGTTTTAAGAAGATGGAATTTTTGAAAACGAAGAATGCGATTTTCAAAATTTCACAATTTATAAGTCCTTCGAGCCATCAGTAAGTCTTTCGAGCATGATGCTTAAATCCTTTGGGTCATCTGTATGCCTTTAGAGCAAGATGATAAGTCCTTCGGGCCATCCATAAAACCTTCGGGTCGGATGTTTTCATATGAATTTGAAAATGAAAAAAAATAGTGTTTTAAGCAGATGGAATTTTTGAAAATGAAGAATGCGATTTTCAAAATTTCACGATTTATAAGTCCTTCGGGCAATCAATAAGTCTTTCGAGCATGATGCTTAAATCCTTCGGATCATCTGTAAGCCTTTAGAGCAAGATGATAAGTCCTTCGGGCCATCCATAAAACCTTCGGGTAGGATGTTTTCATATGAATTTGAAAATTAAAAAATGAAGTTTTAAAAAAAATGAAATTTTTGAAAACAAAGAATACGATTTTTAAAATTTCACAATTTATAAGTCATTCGGGCCATCAGTAAGTCTTTCGAGCATGATGCTTAAATCCTTCGGGTCACCTGTAAGCCTTTAGAGCAAGAGGATAAGTCCTTCGGGCCATCCATAAAACCTTCGGGTATGATGTTTTCAAATTAATTTGAGAATGAAAAATGATGTTTTAAAAAAATGAAATTTTTGAAAACGAAGAATGCGATTTTCAAAATTTCACAATTTATAAGTCCTTCGGGCCATCCATAAGACCTTCGGGTAGGATGTTTTCAAATGAATTTGATAATGAAAAAATGATGTTTTAAGATGGAATTTTTTAAAACGAAGAATGTGATTTTCAAAATTTCACAATTTATAAGTCCTTCGGGCCATCAGTAAGTCTTTCGAGCGTGATGATTAAATCCTTCGGGTAATTTTTAAGCCTTCACGGAAGAGTAGTGAAGTAAATCCATCAGTAAGTCTTTCAAGCGTGATGAATAAATCCTTCGAGTCATCCATAAGACCTTCGGGCAGGATGTTTTTCACCAAGATAATATGTCATCTGAGTTATTTTTAGCCTTTTCTGAAGAGTGTTAGAGCAAACCATCAGATAATCAGATGTGGAAGGAAATGAAAGATTCTCGGGTACGAAAAAGCGGAATAATCGATTAAAAGGGTTGGTGCACGTGAGATGGAGGCGAAGGTCAAGAAGAAGATTGAAGAAAGGAAACAGACACTGCAATTAGACAAAATTAGGTCATTTTTTATCTTTGCTATGTTCTTGGGTTCACAACAACGATCAAAGAGGGTAGCTGTAATACCCTAATTTTGTCCGGGCCATTTGAATTCTTTGAAGATGTTCGAGAATTAATTTGGAGGTAATCATGCTCAAATGAAGATCTAATTCAAAGGATAAACGGAAGCTTGCATTTGGGGATAACATACAAATCAAGAGACTTTGGCTTTAATTGGATCGATATCGTATATGTTTCATTTTTGAAACCGAAAGATAAATTAAAGTTCAATCCAAAATCCAAATTAAATATCTAGAGTCCATTTTCATCTTACAAACCCAAACTAAACCCAAATCAATTACAAACTCAAGACCATGCCCAAAGCATTGAACCCGATCCAAATGAAGCCATATATGACCCAGACCCGATTTTGACAGCTAACTCCCATGTGAAGCTCCAACACTCGTACACCCCACGTGAAGCAGCACCCAACAGCATGCTCCACGCTCGACAGGACCCATGCACTCAGTTACAGTAGCCATGTCTCCCACGTGTGCCGCACAATCGAGCATTCACATGAAGCAGCAAGATAACCAAGCTGTCCATGCCTCCCACATGTTCGTGCATGCCCGAGTACCCCACGTGAAGACAGCAGGCTCCACTGCAGCAGCTCGTTCCCATCACTCACTTGCAACCTGGCACCATCATTGACAGCAAAGTAGGTAGCATATTATGGGAACAAAAATATAATAATAGAGAAGGAGGCCATTGGGGAGAGGTTTTCATCAAGATTAAAAATAATATTCATCACAACAGTAGGGGGCTCGGTTTTTCAGCAAGGAAAAAATACAAAGAGGGGGGAGCAACCATTAAAACGAAAAAAATCAACAGAGGAGGAACGGACTATTATCAAAAAACAAAAAAAAACACACACACGCAGGGGAGGTTCATCCGCAACTATTTTTGAATAGGGGATCCATTATAATGAGGGGAAATCGGTGAGCTAAAAAAAAGGAGAGATTTGTAAAACGTTTTCGGTTCTTCTCAAGAAGCAATACCAAGCAGGATATACATTTTAAGGTTTTCGATTTACTTTCCTATTTCATTTTATTTTCTGTTATTGCTCTTTGTTTTGAAACGATTTCAGCGTGAATAATGTATTATTTCATTCCATCTTTTTTCTGTTTTTTTAAAAATGATAATAATAACGAAAAAACCATAGAACTTAACTAAAAATATGAACGAAAAGAAATAGAAGAGTGTGAAGCATTTACCTTTGGTTGAGGAGTCTCGTCGGCCGTAGAACTTAGGGGTCGTAGCTCAGGGCCTTTGGTCGTGTTAAGCATCGGTTTGGGGCTTCTAGGCACTCGGTTGTTAAGGTTGAACGGAAAAAGGTTGAGAGTTTGGAGAGTTGAGGAGCGACGCCTTGATGAGAGTGAGACGAGAGGAAGGGATGAGATAGGGAGAGGGGAGCATTGCGGCTGTGAGGAAGAAGAAAATATGAAGAATGAGGGTTAGGTTTAGTTTAAAGTAGGTTTTATATTAGATTTTTAGGGATAATTTCTTTAAGGTCACTACACCTCTGCCGTTGATTTCCATTTTGGTCCCAATCGAGTCTTGCTTGTTTTGTAATTTGGACTTCATCTTCTATGAACATTTGATTTAGTCCTGAATGCTAGTATATGTATTTTCTTTCGTTTGCACATTTGGTTTTCAACCTTTTGCATGTTATATTTTAGTCCTTGAATAAATCTTTTCTTTTTTTAATTCAGTTCTCAATTGTTGCATGCATTTAATTTTGTCACTAAATCGGGGTTTCCAATTTTATAATTTGATCTTCGCATTTGTCATTGTTTCCTTTTCAGTCATCAGTTTATGTTATTTTCTTTTTTGTTGGTGGTTTACGTATTTAGCATTTAATTTTGGTTAATTGGTGTTTTGTCCTTTAAAGCTAATCTATTGTATTTTAATTTGGTCTTTGTATTTCATGTTTATTTAATTTTAGTCATAAATGTTGATTATTTTGTTTTTGTCATTTAGACATTTGAGCTCTAAGTTTTTGTATGTTATGTTTTGGTCCTGTATATATTGGGTTTATTCTAGTTTTAATCCATAATGATAATAGTAATTTATTTCAGTTGTTAGTATTCAATATGGTAATATGTGCATGTACACTTTAATTCTTATTATGTTGGTATTTAAGGTAGTGAAGTTTGGTTTAATATAATTTAATCTTTATTTTATCAAGAATGGTTATTTTCCGAAACATGTATTTTTTACTTGTTATGTTTTTGCATGTTAGTGATACTGGTGCATTACATATTAATATATATGTTGGGTATAATATATTAATATATATGTTGGGTATAATGTGTGTAATGTGTGGTAATATAATACGTGTGTAATTGTTTGTATTAAAATAATATTGCATGATATTTTAATCATATGTTTAATTAATTTTTACATGACATCTTTTCTTGCATAATTTGCATGATATCCTCATTTGCACCACTCGACATTATTCATAATTGGATTAAGAGTAATATCCTTTTAATTTAAAATTGTTTTAAGTGGGTTGTCTTAACTGATTAGGTATCCGCTTTTGACGATTTTAAATTAAAAGGGTATCCCATTATTGACATTTTAAAAAAATTGATTCATCACTTTAAAATTTGGGAGCGAAAGAAAAAGAAATATTCGGCTATTTAAATTTATCGAGAAAATATAGTTAGAACTTATCTAAGATTTGGTAGTTGTAATCAATTTTAGTGCCTTGAAATAATGTAAAATTCTTGTGTTGTTGTTTTGTCGGGGATCATAAACCAAATTAAACTCGAATTTGTAAATTTCATTGCAAATACATTAATTAATCGACGAGGCACCGATTTAGGGCACTGTGGGGGTGTTAATCCTTCCCCACGCGTAACCGGCCCCCAAACTCATTTTCTGGTAACGCAGACTTCAAATTGTTGTTTTAATTAAAATTGACTTTTATTTAAAATGACAAAACATTTTTGGGTGTCCAATCACATCCTAATCAAGGATTGATGGCGACTCTTCGAACCTGTGTTTTTATCGTGAATGAATTCCCAAATTCTTGAAACGAGGTTTTCTAAAATCACATTGTTTTTAATTTAAAATCAAACATAAAGAGAATAATTAAAAATAATGTGGTTTTCCAAATCTCGTTCCCCCACTATTTAAAAATCGTTTCGACAGTTATCAATTATGGTGCTTGAATAATATTGAAGATTGTTCTTAAAATTCTAGGTAAATCAAGTTTTCAAATTCTTTCTTTTAATTTTATATATTTTCAAATTTTAGAAAAAATCGTTCTTTCATTTTCAAATGATATATTATGTATTGAGAAAAATATGTTGAAAAACATTGATGTTGACACTATCATCAATGGTTTTGCATTAAAATATTCAATTGTAATATTTTTTATAAGTATATGTATTCTTAAATATATTTTTTGACATCTTTTCTATTGTAATGAATTACTATTTTTTTAATTTTTAAAAAATATAATAAAATATTTATATTAGATATTTCTTAATTTTTTGATATTAGGGGCTTATTTTTTTAATTTTCACCCCGAGTCTAAAAATAGTCAGGATCGGCCCTGGCTTCAACTTGCAAGCTATTTTATGCAATTTTTAATTTATAAAACAAGTCACGATTTAAACAACACTCAAAGCCTTTTTCAAATAGTATTAAATATTTTTGAAGTAAAGTATACAAATCATCCTTCGATTAATAAAAATTATAAAATTATAAGGTGTTATTTTCTTAACTTTTTTATTATTAAAAGTTATAAAATAGTCTTTTAATTACAAAACATTGTTTTGTTGAGTTTTATGTTTATTGAAAGTTATAAAATAATTCTTGTGTTGGACATTTTTGTTGAGTTTTTTTTGTTGAGTTTTAACTACAAGACATTTTTTGAATTCCTGAAAGGTGTTATAAAATTATATATTCTAAATTCATCTTTTCTTTCAAAAAATTGGTGGTTTTGTGTTGGACGATAATTTCTCGTTAGAATATAATAAAATTTGACCTCATAATAGTTTGAGCCAGATCCATCTCAAATGATGTGGAGCCCTGTGTTACTTTTAAAATGTGACCTTTAAAATATTTTATATAAAGATTAATTTGTCAAATTTGAAATTATGAGAGATTTATGATGTTTCTTTTACCAAAATTCATCCTGAAAAATGAAAAAATATATTGTCAAAATCTTCGTTTACAATTTTCTCTACCATTTTCTCAAGAATGAAACGAAAAATTTATTTTCCTTTCGAACTAAAATATTATTAGAGCACAAATATTATACATAGACGGACCTAAATGACATTTATGTATGAGACCCTGAATTTTGGGACCTTGTGATGGATCACATTCTACACTTGTCATTGAACGGGCCTGGTTAGAACTGTATTTTTGAATTGAATCTTCATTTACTTTATGTTATCTATTTAATGCTTGAATCATTATATTGTTGAGCTAGTACTTGAAAGCAATGACAATGTTAGTGGACATCACTAAAATATGTTTTTATCGTATCTTAGTAAGTAGTTTAATATATAACTTAGACCACAATTGATTTTTAATTAAAAACGTCAAATTTAAATCATAACAATAGTCATAAGATTATCTTATAACTTTTAATAATTAAAAAAATTAATAAAATAATATCTAATAATAAAAAAATCATTTGATAACTTTAATAGTAAAAAATTCAATAAAATAACCCTTTATAATTGAAGTACGATTTACGTGCTTAACACTAAAATTTTAATCTTAAATTTCAAAGTTAAAATTCTTGTTCACGAGTTGTCAAAGAAACATAGAATGGGTCGGAATTTTGGAATTGAATCCTTGCAAGTTACGTTAAGCTTTAACTTATTCGGTCATTCTTTTTGTCTTTCTTTTTTTGCAATCATGAGCAAGCAGACCACCAGTGTTCTAGAAATTCAACGAAAACCTGCTACAATTATTACGAATTTATTAATTGACATTTTCAATCCCTTTTATTAAATTATACTAATCATCCTTGTTTTCAACCTACTTCATTAATTTCTGCCGTTCTTGAAGATGCCTTTCAGCTTTTCTTTTTTCAAACATTTCCACTCTAAATATGAAGATTCATTTAATCCTTGACTTTGGTTACCTTTTCATATTTGTCCCTAATATCCTTGAGTTTGGTTGCCTTTCAACACATATTTTGTCATCTGGATGCACAAAGCCCTCTTAAAGACCAAGTGTATTCCTATTATTTTAGATTAGTTATTAAATTTAATACAATATATTATGAGAAAAAAAATTAGGTACTCATTTTATTAAAAAATATTAAAATTTTGGTGAATTTTTAGATCCATCACTAATTCTAATGTCTTTTTTCTGCTTCGAAACTGAGGGTCTTTTTCCCATATTCGCCCATGATTTTCTTACATACTTTTATGAATTAAAAATAAAAAATATAATACATTTTGAAAATAATAAAGAAAAAACTTTAGTTATTAATAGGAAAAATATTTATTAAAACTAACAAAGATGGAGTTGAAATAACAACCCAAATGTACGGTTTACTGTTGAAGTGTACTGAAGTAGTTGGTTATAGTCTTCAGCTTGGCAAAATTGACGAGCTTCAATTTTGGCGTTTCCAAAATATTTCCTTAATACTCCACTATTTGTGAAATTTGAATATTGAAATTGCTCATTGTTGAAGATTCTATGTTGTTGTTGCAGATATTAATTGATAAGTTATTTTAATTATTTAATAATTAAATAACTTATTTTTTAAAATTTTAATTTAGGGATTGATGTGAATAAATAAACACTATTTATAAAAAATCGGTGGTTTGGATGTTGGGCACAAATCAATTTATCACAATAGTTAAAATAATTATTGTTGTTCTTAGAAATTATTAATTCAAGTATTAACGATTGTAACATATTGATTGAGCATTTATTGTGATTTAAAATATTTAGAATAAATATTACTTAATAAAAAAAATATACATAAATGTCGTGGCTTTTAGGTAGAAAAAATAATTATATATTAATCGACCAGTCAAGTTGTTAAAAAATAAAATAGGACATTAAACCGGAGGATGGCTTGAGTCACCCGTCGGTCTAACTGTCAAACTTGAATCGGAGGTCCCTTCCCCATTATCAGCCGCCACCTTCGGTGACTTCATGGATGATGCTCTACTAATAAATGGTGGTGCCATACTAAACACCCACCAGTCCGACTTCACTCCACGGTCTGACTTGTCGAGCCATCTCAAAGACTTTCCTCTTGTACTTCCACCGTCTTCTCCGGTTCGGTAACCTCGTCGTGAACTTCTTTCCCTGGGCAACACCAAGCTCATTGCTCGACCTAACTTCCGGTTCATTAACGGTTTTCGAACATCCATAGGTAATCGCAAAGTGAACCGGTCCGTGTTTTCTCCCGGTTGGACCAAAGAGTGTCCGGTCGAGTGTGATCGTGGGAAAAAATACCTACGCGTTCGGGTAGATATGGATCCACGTGTACGATTCTTGTTTAAAGCTCGGTTCAAGTCAATTAGTTCCACCTCCGGAACCTCCACGTCACAGTCAACATTATCAGGGTTTCTCCTCCTATCTTCTTCCGTTTCCGAGTTACCGACGTCGTTTTGAGCCTCGAGGTCCACTTCGGGGGCGGTGTTATCAGCCTCAGTGAGTTGACTCGCTGAGTTATCAGGTTCAGGAGCTAGATTAGCTCTACAAACGGGACACGTGGTATTAGAAGTCAACCAAGCATCGATACATTCAGGGTGGAAGACGTGGTCGCATATGGGTATCAAACGCAGCGTTTCGTCGTCTTCGAATTCGTTCAAACAAACCGCGCACTCCAAAGCCCCTTTGTCGATCTTATGAACCTTAACTTCGGAGTAAACCATGGTGGGGAAAGTTTCGATCACGGAAGCTTCAAGCCCTCGCGTCCCGCGACGGGAACGCCCCGTTCCGCCGTTGACGGGGCGGACGAAGCTTGCGTTGGCATCGGAACAGTTCCGGATATAAATTGAGAAGAACCCCAAAAAGAACAAAGCGGCAATCAAGACAACGATGATTATGGCCATGGAAGGGGTGAAACGAGCGTAGGGGTAACGGCCGTCGTTTGGGTCGGTGGGTTGGGCGGCGGAGGGAGGCGGAGAGATAAAAAGAAGGAAAAAAAGAAAGAGAAAGATACTATGTTTGGCGGTGGATGACATGGTGAGAAAAAGAGCATAAGAAAGAGAAGAAAGAAGGGATGAGTGGGTTTTATATGAGACGTGAGAGGAGAGAAGGTAGCTGGAAAGGTGGGGGGGGGTCCAATTCAGTGTTGAACTTGGAAGCTGGTTTGAAATTCAGACAAGGCGAGCCACATGGGATTTGGGTGTATATCATTTTTGTCTGATGGTTCCAATGACAGGGGAGACTTTAGTGTGTGTTTAATTTGTGACGTAGGAATTCACAATGCCATCATGTCAAATTTACAAAAATAGTACCGTTATTTAATATTTAGGAAATGACACCTAACATAAATCGTTATGAAAATCTGTGTAAACTATCTAATTTGGTACCCGCCTATTAATTAGTTTCTGTTTTAGTATTTTAATTATTATTTTTTAAATTATATTTAATGTTATTTTTTAAATTATATTTAATTATTATTTTAGTTTATCAGATTTTTAGTGTAATTTATATATATATTTTTTGAAGTGAAATTAGATGTATGTTTAAATCAAGTTAAAATTTCAATATTTCATGAATTATACGTATTTCCGAGTCAAAGTTTTCATAAATAGTTGAGCTAACTTTTGAATTCGTGGGATTTGGTTTTCTACTTCTCGTACTAATAATTGCTCTCAATAAAGTCAAAATTTAGCATTTACACAAAACAATCAATCCAACGGTTAGAAAGATGAGAAGCTAAGCTAGAGGACGAATGTGATCTTATAGAACAGTCCGCTTTTCTCTTTAGTTAAACCACTGATATTTTGGCCATCATGTCTCGCGCTCACGTAAATAGATCAAGTTTTGAAACTCATTAAACAATTATAGTGACTAAATAAATTGTTGTTTTTCTAAAAAAAATTGGATTAGAATAATTATACTTATAGAACACAATAATAAAATTTGGTGATATAGTTTAGAATATCAACTTAAAATTTTAAAAGATTTAGATACATTAAAATTTTAAAAATTTTGAAGGCTCCCGTTTACATTGTTTAAGAAAATTCGGATCTAACTAATTTTTTTTTAAATTTCGAGAGATTTAAAGAGAACTTCTAAAAATTCAAGTGATATTGAATTAAGAACATTCAAAAATTTTAAAACTTAATCTGAATTTTTTAAAATTTTATAGAGGTCAGACTAAATTTTTTTTTTTAAAAAAATTAAAAGTCTAAACTATAATTTTTAAAAAAATTATAGGGCCATAGTCCCTACATGTCTCCATTATATTCCGTCTATATAATTTTTTTTATCATTCTATCTATTGATGTAATTTTTAAAAATATAATTTTGTATAGAATATTTATTTTTACTTACAAAATAAGTGACATAGAATTACAATGTTAATTGTTAGTTTGATTTTGTATTATTAATAAAAAAACTTGGATTACATTAATTGTAATTACATACAACACTTTAAAAATAACTATACAAATTAATAGTTAAAAGTTTTAATTTAAAATCAATCCAATTTTTTTATTTCATAAGTCCATTATACTGATTACAATATATTATGATATTAGAAATTACTTAAAATACTAATAAAATTTAAAATTTAGATAAACTAATTTATTTTTAAGGAAATTCATTTAGCGTCGTTGTAATTATATATGAAAAAGCACTTTTTTAATTCAGTTTTTAATACAAAGTTAAAACAAATACATTACAAACATTGATAAAACAACAGTGAATTATAAACCTTGGAATCGGACCCTAAACATAACACTAATTAAATTCTGGTTACATCTACTATTAGGCAAATGTTCTTTTTTATAACACGAGAATTTCATTTTCGTGGGTGTTACACAATCATTCTAATACCCAAACATCGGGTCGGTAACTAAAGTGTAAGGATTTAAATTTTAGCGGGTTAATTTCGATAAATAAAAAAGTTCAATGACTAATTTAAATTTTTTTGTCTAGGACTTATTATCTAAGATTGAAGGTTGGAAGGCCAAAGTGATCTTTTGTGATGAAATGAATTTAAAAAATCATTTTAAAGGTTATTTAAGCATGTTGGAAATAAGGAAAGAAGAAAGGAAATATCTGGAAGCTTGCTCTTCTCTTCTTCCTCTCCACCGTACACTTCCCTTTGCTAAGTTAAGTGATTTGAAGTTGGTTATTCCTTTCATTTTTGATTTGGTTTTGGTCTTTTGATTGGTAAAGAAGCTTAAGGAAGCTTAAAGATGATTAAAAACTAAGAGATTAAGGATTTTATGGTGAATTAGTAAAATGGGTTTTTAAGAGAATTGATGGAAATTGATTGTATTTGGAGTTTTATAGGAATATTTGACTTGCCAAAGGTCTAATTAAGACGTTAGAAGTGTTAGAACGGATTGAGAACATGTTTGAAGAATTGGTATGACTTTCAGATTTAAGAGTTCTATGTAAGATTTTAGATGTTAAAGGGATTTTTAATGGATATAAGTTAGTGGGAATAAGTGTAAATGAGTTTCAATGCATGAATAGAATCAAGGGTAAGAGATTTAAGTGAAATTTGGGTAAAGTTCGAAATGGAATAGATGAATTATGGGTAAGGGTATCGGTACTGGAAGAACAATACCGATACTATAAGGTTAAATTGAAGGAAAATGTATGAATCCGATGAACAATATTGATACTGATTGAAGTAGTATCGATACTGTAATGGAAAATGAAATTCTAGAATGCAAAAATGGTATCGGTACTGAGGTAAGTATCAGTACCATAGAAGAGAAGTATCAGTACTGTGGGTAGAGTACCGAATACTATTCAGTCTGAAATGTTAAATTAAGTGTTTTATTTCGTTTAAGTAAAGGTTAATTGGTTAGATGTAATTGAGCTCCGATATTCATGGGTTATGTTAATGTGTAGATTTGATCGAAAGCAAGTGTTGAACGAATGGACGTGTAAAGCTAGTAAGCTAAATTGAAAAGGATGTCTTCTTAGGACTTAAGTGAGGCAAAGGTGAGTGCATTCTTATTTACTTTGTATAAAATTGGAGGATGGCTTGCGATGAGCCAACCTCAAATATTTATGAACCAAATAAATTATATTATGTGATGGTTTTATCTAAACGATATTTTAAAAGTATTGTTTCGATTTCATTGTTACGAGTATATATTTTATGTGAAATATTATAAGTATATGATTTATATGAATATGTTCTATGAGAACAACTGATAATTTGAATAATGTTATATGAAACAATATGAGTATAGGTTATATGTGAATAAATGATAAGTTGAGTTAGGTGATATGAAATGTTATAAATAATTGATCTGTGTGAATAAATAATAAATTTTAGTAATGCTACGTGAAATACTATAAGTATATGTCATAGGTGAATATGTCATACGTGAAAAATGTTATACGTGAAAAATGATCTACGTGAAAATGTTCTATGTGAAAATGTGCTAAGTGATTGTAGTCTATGTGAATAAAAGGCACTTTGAATAAAGTAATAAAAATTAATTATATGGTTAAAGCCCAAAGTATATTTTATGAGAATTAGGGGTATAGTTGACATGCTAAGAGTCGAGGGTTCTACGCGGTCCTTCGGGACAATTCTACGTGGTTCTTCGGGACAAATTATACGCGGTCCTTCAGGACATATATGTGTGGCACTTCGGTGCGTATTCTACGTGGCACTTCGGTGCAAATTATATGAGCAATGGTGACTGCATTTAGTGCACAACCTCAATGTACTCAAATACCTTGAGTTCTCAGTGATATACGTTGGGCTAATTAAATAAATGGATATAAATTAAACAAATTGATATGGATTAAAAAGTGTATAAGTGTATATATAGTTTATGAAATAAAAATTGATTATAAATTGAAAGATGACTAAAAGTAGATGTTATATATATGAAATGTATACGATTTTTCTGTATTAAATGATTTCGCTGAAATGTTTTAACAAGTAATAAGAATTCAACAATATATGATGTTTTTATGAATTATTTATTAGTTTTATATGAAATGTTTCTAAGGAAATGTATAAAAAATGTCTTTAAATGTTTTGTTATGCTCCTTAAGCCTCACTAAGTCAATGACTTAGCATGTGAGTGTTTTCACACGTAGATTCAAAGTTATGCGAGGAGTAAGCCGAGTAAACAAGTGGCAGGACAACATACCTTTGAAGATTATCAGATTAGAGAAATTTGAAATGTATGTGATTGTGTAATGGGAATGTTGTTGGCATGTACCATAAATGTAAAATGGTAGATGATCTGATATGTATTTTAATTATGATTTATTAAGTTTTGTTTTTCCTTGTCAAGTTTTAACTGCATTTTTTAAAAGAGTCAAAGTGTTTAAAAAGTCAATGTGATACCTCAGAGTCGTATCTGGGGTAGATACCGATTGGGGGTGTTATATTTATTGGTATCAGAGCTTAGGTTGAGTCAAGTTTTTGAAAAGACCGACCGGTCGACTATAAAAAAATGTCGGGTTTTTACATGCCAACAAATTAAAAAAATCTCTGATCTGATAGTGTATGGAGTACGTTGTCCTTGCTAGTATAGTTTAATAGATGTAAGACTAAGAGGTCTTCCGAAATAAAACGGGAAATAGAGTTGATAAGAGAATTAGTAACTCGACAAAGTGAATAGCAGACATCTCAGAGAATATTTCTCGGACGCTGGACGCAATTCTAAAGCATTTCCAATCATCTACTTCCTTGGATTATTAATATAAATGTTGGTATAGAGTTAAAGAGGTTTAGGAGTACATGAGTTTAAGGATTGAGCTGAGGAAGTTCCTATTTCTATGGATCTTTGATTAAATGACAAGAAAATAATGTTAGAGGGTCTCTATTGTTCTGAAATAGAAAAGTTGGATGGAATAGTCTCACTGCTAAGAGGTCAAGTATGTGTATAATGGATTAAGTGGGATGAAAAGGGTAAATATGTTCCTTCTAGGATTTTTGGAAGTAACTATTATGAAGATATTGATATAGGGTTGTTAAGACCAGGGATTTACAAGATTAAATGTGTCATCTGGGAAACATTAGTGTTATTGTGAAAAGAAAGATGAGTTAAAAAATTTTGGATGGATTATTATC